TTTCTTGTCATTCGGTGGCGCTGTTTATGGCCGTGCTACGACTCAATCGCATGCACGGACGGCACTCGTACGTGTGTTTGGTTTATGGCGTACACAATTTTCAGAGAAACGGAAAGGAAAGGCTGAGGCCTCGGCATCGGCATCAGCATCAGCATCGGCCTCCGCCTCATCCTTATCCTCATCCAATGTACATATTTTGGTCGAGTTTACGCACTTTATTAACATATACTCGTGCTCGTATTCCTCTGGCAGGACGCATCGTCATCCGCCAAGGATGCTGCTCTTCTGCGAGTACATAAAAAATGAATCTGCCGCTGGCCGTGAGTCGTGCGTCGTGTGTTCTGTCGTTCCTCGGAATTTAATATAAAAAGCACAATGATAATATTATAAAATGCTTAAACAGAATATTGAAATGAGCTCAAGGAAACGATTCACTTTATTGCGAGTTTCGCAAAAGTCTGCCATAAGTCTCTTGTCTGCAGAGAGAGAGAGACAGAGAGAGAGAGGGGGCGACAGGAACACAACACGGGGGACAAACCAGCCAGAAGGGTCCGCTCTCCGCTGATGATGTTCCATTCAATCATCTTCGTTTTCCGACTCTTGAATATACAATTGACTTATAAAGATGTGGGTCAGGGGTTGGGCGACCAGCACAAGTGTTTTCCGAGTATTTTCCATATTTTTCCCCTGTTTTTGTCCCCCTGTCCAACTGTGGCAACAAAACCCTACTCACCCTTTCTGACATCAGGTTTTCCACTGATGGCAAAGGCTTAGTTCGGGGAGGAGATTCCTGAGCAACAGGGTGCAGTGTAGAGCCCGCTCTCCAGTGCCCAGCTCAGTCTCAACTTTAATTAACTGCACTCGCAGGCCGTTCGCACAGTTATAGAGTCGGAGAAAACAAATTTCACAGTTTAATTAAAAACTTCACAGTCCGCGTCAGCGTTCGAGATGATGCCTGATAAAAAAACTGTTAGACAGCTGCTCTGTTTGTCGCTGCTCAAATGCACAAAGCAAACAAAACCTCCTCCCAGTAAACAAGCAACAGAGCAATGGAGAAATAACCACGCGAAAGAAGTACGGGATGGATGGGGTGGACACGGAGCACTGTGAGGCAGTGGCAGTGGCACTGGCATTGATGATATTTCTGCTGTCCGGGGGTCTCGTCTCATCCGAACTGAAGCGCTCGCTACGCAAAGTGTCAATAACAATTTACACTTGAGACGATATCTCAATATTGTTGCACGACAACAGCAACAGCAACAGCAACAATAGCAATCAAACGGATGGGGCAAGTGTATAGGGAGTATAGAGTGTGGAGAGCAACAGGAGGACAATGCCACAGGCCACACGATGAGCAGCTGCTGAATGCTGATGACACGGTAACGACGGTACGATGGCTGCTAGTTTGTTTATTTAGCCACACGGCTACCACGCAGGAACCCCCCATCGACAAACGCTCGAGGAGTCACCGCCGTATCTGCCGTTGACCATTCTTCTTGAGAGGAAGGAAAACAGACTGGGGTGGACTGCCTCCTGGCTAGAGACCAGGAATCGTGGCACAGATTAGCAGATATCAAGTGCCTGAGAGACAGCGAGAGAATCTCCTAGAATTTTTATGAGTTCAATATTAAAATCACAGCGCGCTCCCTACAATGCTACAGTGCGAGAGTAGCGCATCGTAAAAGACTCGCTCTCAAGGGCCGCAGGAACTGCAGGAATTCTCTCACATCCCAACACTGCACTACATAGTAATTCCAAAGTGTATGAGGGCCAAAAATTAAGTTTTTATTTCCGCTGCAATGATTGCACTCGCGACAATGTGTGTTTCAAGGCAAAGGCGTTGGTGAAACAAGACTTCCGCTGCCCCATTCTCCAGTGCTGCCCCCACATTCTCTAGGCGACCCTTGAGAACCCGCCCAATACAGAGATTCGAGTGCAAATAGCGCGTTTCGCTAGGGGGATACAGACACAGGATACAGTATAGAAATGGAGATGGGCGGGTAGATGGGTCTTCTCAATGAGAATGAGTAGTGCTCATTCGCCGAGTAAACACGATTCTTTTTCGACATTTCTGCTAAGCTTCAAGTGGACACACATTCGCCAAAGATAAACAAGCTCTACTTTGAGTGCGGAGTGTTGTAAGCACACAGAGCCGCCTCAGAGAGGATCAGAGGACTCGCGCGAGGTGTGAGCATTTGATGTGATTGAGGATTGGGGATTGAAACGAGTAAGACGAAAGGGAATATCCCAGGAAGAGTACGTCCATAGGGTCATCCCACGCCTCATGCGGATTGGGTATTTATGCCAATTAGCTCTTCCTATGCTAATGCTAATTCGGAGCGAGCGAGCACTGACCGACGGGCAGAGGGACAACTGATAAATTAGCCATGAATATTCAGCACCCACGCGCAACATTATTTTCCACAGAATTAAATTATACATTTTTAAGTTGTCCGAGACCCAAAGCCCAATGGAGGGCCCCAGCAGCAGAAGAGCATCCTCATAATTAGCCACTTGAATATTTACCCCATCGTCGTCTTGATGCCGCCTCCCACCCGCTCCTGGTTATGATTATGATGATTTGCAGCATGTTCCAGCATCCGGCGTCAGGCATCCAGGCCAAGCGTTTGCTTTACCCATTTCCCGTTGCCCATTGCCCAAGCAGCCGTTGGTCAATTGAGGGGTACGTTTCCTCGAGGATGTCAGCATCCACGGCACGGCTCTCGGGCTCTCGCTCTGGTCTTTTCTGGTCTGCAATGTTCCGGCAAATTTATTGCGCAAAACGGCGTGGAATTGCTTTTAAAAACGCATCAAATTATGCTAAAGTGAATGTATCCACTCTCAAATGGAGCGGCCCCCTTCAAATTAGTGCACACAAAGCTGTTGCCAGCTCTGGACGAGGATGGGGCGGGGCAGGGGGACTGAGCATGGGGCTATTGGCTACTTGGCGTATTTACCAGGCGCTTAACCGACTTTCTGCACGCACAAGACTTCTGGCCCGTCCCCCGATCTGGGCTATAGAGGACGCTATAGAGGCGTAGCAGCGGTGGCAAATACATATATTGGCAATGCCGCTGCTCTACTCTTCGAGCAAAGTGCTCCACAATGGCCCTCGTTCAGACAATGTTAAATGCGCGCTCGTTGCGAGCTGTCTGTCAACTTGGGGACTCAGCTCAAGTGGCCCCACAGTCACACAGCCCCATAGCACCATAGCCCAGTGAAACCAGCCAATAGTGCCTCCTCCCGCTCCCGCTCCATCCACTCGATCGATTCCTGCCTGACAGTGGCACAATGCGGACGCGGATGCGGAAGCGGAGTGCACTTGTCGCCATCATTGACATCAATGCGTCGTAGCTGGCTTTTTAGCTGTCGCGCCCAATGAGCAGCCCCACTGGAGAGTGAAAGAGGCGCGTGGTATGGCGCATGGGGCATGAGGCAGTGGCTCGTGGCACGGGGCATTGGACAAACACTTTACCATAATTCGCAGCATGTAACTAATGGGCGTGGCCCGGGATTTTGGCACCACCATGCCGAGAGATTGCCTCTCGATCAGCAGACACCAGGAGCGGGTCGAACCTCTAGGCAGGGAGAGGCCTGCAAAATCAATCCCTTCATACAATCTGCATACAGAGCCGCCACAGATTTCTTTGTGCGGAAATTGATTGCATATTACGTATACGCAGCAAAAATACGCCACGCACCCGCACCCGCACCTGCACACGCACACGCACACGCACAGCCTCATCAATAACTAAAGGCGACATCCGAAGGATTCATTTCATTTGCTTGTGTCCCACCACACACACACCTGCCATCTGGATGAACGCAGAGAGTAAGGACAGAGAGGCGAAAGCGGAAAGGCGGTGAGGTTGTTAGCACGCTCGACTGATATTATTTTTTCCTCCTTTATGAATTATTCGCGAACGCACATTGATTTTGAGCTGAATTCAGTTTAATGCTGCCCGTCAAAGGTAGCAAAAAAAGGAACGAAAGGAGCAGGGAAAGCAGCAGGGAATGGCTGGAGAGAAAGGCGTTTTGCTGTGAAATTTTCATTTGGGTTTTATTTACGTTCAATCGAGTTTTCGCGAAATTAGTTAAGTTTAGCGTGAATTTTATTATTGCAGGAGGAGCAGGCAGCAGGCAGCAGAGAGCAGGCAGAAGGAAGCTCTCCTCCACCTTCGAAGAGCGAAGTTTGTCGCTCGCAAAGCTGTCGGCTTTCACTTCGTGCCGTCTTTGGGGGAAAAGGGAAAAGAGAGGTAGGCAAACTTCTTAATTAAAAGATTTGGCCACTGATTGCGTATTTGCCGTGTTTCGGGCAAAGGACATGCCAATGGCAAAGCCCTTTTGCTGAAGAAGACCTAAAGAGAACGAGAGCCCATATTCAATTTGTTAAATGCATTCGAGTGCCTTTGTCTGCAGCGGTAATTGCCAGAGTTGAGGTGCGCTCTGCAGCAGAGGATTTCAGACCCACACACACAACCAGACGGCAAGCAGGGGTCAGGGGGTATGGGCCAGGCATAGCCATAAATCTCATTTCATTTTTGCACTGCGAGCGGCAAATAAATTCATAGATATGAGTCGAGTGACCCTAACTGAACATTCGACATTGCACTTTGTGCGAATACGAATCCGCATCCGAATCCCAATTTATTTACAGCAGGCAGTTGTTAGTTTTAAGAGAGAGAGAGAAAGGGCGACGCAAAATGCCAAAAATTGTTGCATTCATGCCACAGAAATTCCAAATTTAATTTGAGGCATAGCTCTGCATCTGCCGAATCAATGTTGCATGTATTTGCATTTGAGGCCACACAAATGATGAAGTTGCAACACCGAAATACGAGAATGCATACTTGTACATATATGCGGCGGGCTGCGGGATGCGGGATAAAAGATGTTTATTTACCGACATTTGTCTTTCAAGTTTTCCAATGCCATAACTCGATTAATTTACCGGTGAGTCAAGCCATTGATTGCTATTGATTGATCAATCAAGGAGACCCTTTGACTTAATAAAAACATCTCTAATTGCAATTTATGACATGGCCAAAGGACAGGAAAAAGGTGCTCTAGGTGCTCTTAATTTTCAGTTGGTTGTAGTTGAATCTGCTCTTCCGGGTGGGACCCAAGGGGCTGCCGGTCCGCGCGGGTCCTCGTTTGCTGTGGAAGAATAATGTAATATAATCCTCGAATATCCCGTTTGCAGGCACTCACCAGGCGCTGTAGAAATCGCTTAGAGCTGCGTTCTGCTTGAGCCCTTCATTACGACCATTATTGGTGCACTTCCACATCTGGCAGTCGCACTTGCCATTGCAGTGGCCTTTGTCTTTTCTGGCATTCTGCAGCATCGAGCACAGTTTTTGGGTTATTTCGCAGGGATCCTGATGATCAGGTCCGTGCTGAACCAACTGCACGAACATATTGGCCATAACTTCCTCCAGCTCCTCCTCAGGAGTGCGTCGCCGCCTGCTGCCGATATAGGGATTCACATAGTTCATCACGTGCTCCACTGTGCGCTCGTAGTCGAGGGGCAGGCCGGTGCGACGGTCCGCTCGAAAGAGTCTTGGCAGCTTGGCCTCCTTCTTCGGCTTGGTGCGGACGATCGTCTTGCGCCACACGCGCTGGTTGGGCGGCACCGGCGCCCGACGCTTGACAGGATTGCTTTGGGGCGTGGTCTTAAAATTTGAAGCTCTGAACAGAGTCTTAAGCTGGCTCTGCTGCTTGGAGCTTGACTTTGAAACCTTTTGGGACTTCTTCTTGGACACTGGGGCTGTCTTTGCTTTCTTTTTGGGCATCACCCTGGTCTTTACATTCTTCTTGAGAGCCATTGTACTACAGTGCAGAGCGTGTGTTAATTTCAAAGTAAAATTTTGTTCATAAAAATAAGGATTGACGATGTAAACGGATTTGTGGAGTATAGCCTGCTGCTCCACTCCACTTCACTCGATTGGAGCAAATTTCGAGGATGAAATATGTGAAATGTCGTTTTTAATCCTTTTTGGCAGATGCAACTATTTAGTGTCGACCTCTCGGCCACTCGGCCTCTCGTTGGGGCAAAACATGATTACAATTGCAATTCCAGATTTATGATTTCATTCCTCAAACACGCACACACACACACACACAAAGATGCACAGATACAGCACAAACATACATATACAGATGCACACAAGTTGTGAGCTGATGTGTGGCCACAGCCAACTTAACTTTTGAAACAATGTCAAATACAATAAACGTGTGTAGCCATTGTTGTTGCCGCCGCTGCTGACACCCACCGACGTTGCAGTTGCCACGCGAGTGTAAGAGTGTACGTCTGTGTGAGTGCGAGTGCACAACCGCATTGTTTGAATGCTGCGTTGGCGAACAATGTAAATTGCCAGCAGTACTATATACATATGTACATAAGTTTATATGCATCATATGTGAGGCTGTATGTATAAGTTATATGCGTTGGCTGCAGTACGAGATACGGGCTACGGGCGAACAACAAAGTTGAAACATTCGCAGACACAGATACAGATACACACCCACACACACACACACACTCTCTCTCTCTCTCTCTGGCAAATGGAATCATACTCAGTTGTATTGCAAAAGACGCAGCAGCAGAAATACAGAGCAGCATGCAGAACAAAAGCAATATAATTAATCATCGAAGAGCAGGCCAAGCAGAAACAGCATGCTGTTTAAGCAGCAACACAACAGAGGCAGCAGGCAGCAGACAGCAGAGGCAGTAAGCAGCAGGAGGCGCATAGTCAGGATCACACACAGCCAGGGATTAGAGTACCGCCCCTGACGCTGCAGGAGGACATTTGCGTAGCAAATATTGTTGCAACATTGCTTAAAACATAATTCATATTAACAGTTTCTCGGAGTCGAGGACCAAATGCCCTTAAATCTAAGGATATCCCAAGACCTAACCATTTAACCAATCAAGGAATAGATGCTTCATAGAAAAGGAGTAACCCTTCGGATACAATCCATTCAGGGCAGCTGTGGCAAGTGCCCCAACTGCAGGTCCGAATGAAGAGTACTAATGGCATACTCTTGTTCCTCTGGCTCGGCCGTGGCATGGTATAGGCGTGGCCGCTCGAAGTGTCGAGTTTATGTTTCAGATAGATGCACTGTTGGTCTCGTATCTGCAGCCACTGTGTATAATCAATTATGCTGCTGCCCTGGCAATGATACCAGAGACTGAAGACTCCAGGCTCCAGAGTGCGGCAAGCAGAAGTCACCATCCCATCATCGATGGCAGACAGACTAGATTTCGAGCACTCTTATAGTCTTATCCCAGAGCTAAGTTCAATTAGGGGACGCTCCGGCTCCAGCTCCGGCTCCAGCTCCACATGGGGCAGGATGCTCGTAATGCGAGTGAACGCAACGTGAAATTGAAAAGCATAAATGTCATTTTCTATAAGAAACGTCAAATTTGATTTTTTAAAGCATCCACGCAGACAAAGCCGAGCTGCGAAGGGAATTTCTATAGAGCCAAGGAAATGACTTTACACCTTCTTTCCCTTCTTGCCACCCCTTGCTGCACGTGTGGCAGTGTGTATACGCGGGAGAAAGAAAGAAATGGATCAAATATAGATTTATGTGTTTCATGTCAAAATAAATGGATTTTACATGTTGCCACAAACCGTTCGATGCTCGCTCGCTCTTGTGTGTGGTGGTGGTGGGGGACGATGATGGCGCTGGCAAGAACAACAATGGTGACAAACAGCAACAACAATGAAAATATAACGTGGCATTAAAATGTCATTTCATACTCGTACAAACAAGCTCCCATAACGAACGTCCCTTTTGTTGGATCCAGATCTAGAGATGGTGTTTTGGTCGGCAGCAGGGAGTGCAGGGGTAAAAATATTAAGTTAATATGTTTGGGCAGGCTTCGCATTGATCCTTCGAAATTTAGCAAAGTGCAGACAGGATATTGGCAGCTGCTTGCAGCCGTACAGGATATTAAAGCCATAAAGATGAAATATTTGTACACATTCCCTGCCAGCAATCATCGATGTCGCGTCCAGCTATGATAGTCCATCCCGCGCACAAATCCGCGAATCAGAGCCCGCCAGCCATAGACAAATTCCACCGTAACGAAGATTATTCAAATTATTTCCCACTTGCGCTGCCACCGAATCTGACAGCTCCGTCAACTCCACAACCTTGCACGTCTATTTGTGTTTGTGCCCCCGATTCGGGACGCCTACTTTCGTTGCTGCTGTGGTTGTTGTTGCTGTTGCTGCTGTCGGCACCCCCCCATGTGACACATGATGCCGTGTCATATAATTTATCAAGGAATTTTTAACATTCAGCTCTCGTCGTGACATTGCCATGAAAGGCCAACAAAAAAATGTCTGCTCGCTCGCTGCCCTGCAGCGCGAGGTGGAAGAGGGCAAGGGGCAGGGGACATCCCGTTCGGATCTCCCTAGAGCTTTGTTTTCTCTTCATGCCTCCTCGCACTCCCACTGGGGTCCTCTCTGGATTCCGACTTGGCTGCTTTTCATTTTGATAAATATGTGGAGAGTAGAAATCTATCATTTCGCGTGTCGCATAAATAAATACATCAAGCGGCAGCTCCACACACACACACACTCAACACTGCCACACGTACAGTGGTGGGTAGTCTAAGGGAGAGGAAAAGCACACAAATTGTTAATCAACGGCAAAAAGAGCTCCCACTTGCTGATGCTGCTCTTGCTGCTGCTGCTGCCGCTGGTGTTGTTGTCGTCGTCGCAGAGGAGTTGGCAATTTGTTTTGTCGTTAAACTTTTTTAGCGTTTCGTTATTTAATGCAAATTGATGATAACGGGCACCACGCTAATGAGTTTACGAGTATGTGCAGGAGTGAGAGAGTTCTGGAGGAGCTACGAGTATTACAACCCATTCCTGGGGGTAACCGTAACCCCAAAATAGAATGTACCAATTTACCAACCGACAGAAGCTGCGCTGCCCGAGAGGATAGCCCCACACTCGTACTCATACACGCGTTTTGGGGCCTATACTTGTATACTACAGAGTATACAAATTTAATGAATGTTCCCCGTTTTCCGGGTTGCCCCATAAATAATCAACGAGCATTCTTTTGGCCACACACATAAAGACATTCACACACCCACTCACAGACACACAATTGGAGCATTTGTGGCTGTTGTTTCACTCCCTTTCTGGGGCGACACCTTCTGTTTCATGCGTCCGGGGACCCCGCAGTTTGTTAAATGAAATTCGTTAAAAGTCCTTCGAAACAAAGCTGAGAAAGAGAGTCGAGCAGCTGGCTCCAAGGCAGCGGCAACGGCAACGGCAACGGCAGTGGCAGCCGTATCCTCGCTCGCGCTCTCCTCGGTTACGTGTGCAGTCAATTCCACTCGGCTGCCCATTGAAAAGTTTTGCACTTCGCTGCACAAAGGACATGGAGGCAACGCAACATCAAGGGCAGCCGCCCCCAACATCTGAAGCCTCTGCGGTCGTGGCCACCATGGGGCAGACTAGGGGTACTGTAATCCTCCGCCAGTCCGCCAGAGTCGTCGAGGCGTGGAGGCGTGGATCGGGCCAACGGACAGCAGAAACTAAACACTAAACATCATAATATAACTTTGACAAACATCCACCCACTGAAAGATGGGGAAATGGCGAACTAAAGGCGACTTTCCTTCTGTGTGGAATAATTTATGTGTGCCATGGATAAAACATTGTTGCAAAGCTCCGTTTCTCCATTTCTCCAGTTCTCAATTTCCGTGTTATCGCTGGAACTTTCGCACTTATTGAACTACAATGAAAATACATCACGGAACGAGCGTTCGAACGTTCGAAGCACTTTCCCTATGAGCGAAATTTCCATGCGTTGCACAACTTTGTTATGCTTTGCCTTATCTGAGGAAACTCGTGGAAAATGTATCCCGAATGTTGACCATGCGAGTCCATTTCCTTAACTACCGAATACACTCGATTCCTGAGTCCAGAGAAGGTGCCATTACATCTGCCGGATCTGGCGTATCTGTCGGAGTGGGGGTTGGGGACGTGGAGTGTGGAGTGTGGAGGGACCACGGGGTGGTGGACGGTCGACGGTGGACGGTGGACGACGAACGGCGGTGGAAATGACCGCAAAACCAATACGAGTGCCAGGACGATTCGATTTAATGGAAAATCGACCGCAGAAACAGCAACAACTTAAGCGATTCAGAAATTGCCACATACGCTGCCTGCCGCACAGCTCTCGACTGTCGACGCTCGACGCTGGCTGCTGCACACAGCTGACACACTTTCGGGGGACACTTACACACACTTACACTCAAATGCGAGGCGGCACAGTGAGGGGCCTCTGCGGTGTCACGGGCCACGCAATTAGGGGGCTTAACCACGAGCCAGAAGCAGAGAGCCAGAGTCACAGCCAGGGCCAGCCTTGAACTGCGCTGCTTTCTGCTATCTGCAGCTGAAGTATGTGGTGGCCATTGACGATATATTGGAACTTGAAAGCATTAAACGAACGAGAGACCAAAGGAAAAAGAACAACACCCAATCGCAACCAGCGCCAATGTCGAAGCAGCCGCTACGCGACGCGCAATTACGGCGGAAAGCAGCACTCACAGCAGCAGTCGTATCCATATGCACGGCGAGGACCGATGCTTTGCCGTCTCTTCTGCCGTCTCTCTCTGCGATTCGTACGATCTGTAGAGTCAAACTATTGTTCGAACAGCCCTCGCAGTCCTGTCCTGCAGTCATGTTCTCAGTTAGGCGGAGCCGTAATAAAGCCAGAGAAAACAAAACTAGGCAGTCCGGCAATCCGGGACTTGCCAATGCGCCTGTCGTCGATGCCATCGAAAACAGAAGTTTTACGATTAAGCGAAACGAGAAGAGCCCAAGCCCAAGCCTCAAACAAGCCCCC